GATTTTGCCCAACCAGGGGAGGTTATATCTGGTCCCCCTGCTACTGGTCCCCCTCAATGTTAGATCGGTGGCAGGCGTGCTGGGGTACACCGGGCAGCCTACCTGAGCAGCTCCGCTGTGATGCACCACTTCTGGCTCTTCCAGACTACTCTGCTGTGGCGTGCCAGGATTCTCGCCCCTCTGGGCAGCACAGCTGGGGCACACTGAGAAGCCTAGCTAAGCAGCCCTGCTGCGGCATGCCAGGCTCCCAACCCTACCAGGTAGCCCCGCTTCTCAGCTGTGGGGATCTAGGCTCATGGTCCCACTGGCAGCTTGCTGCCAGCAGCCTGCAGCCTGCCAGTCCACATTTCAAATGCTGTGTGAAATACTTCACATTCAAATTAAAGGGAAAAAACTAAACCAAGGTGACCATTTTATAGGCATCCTTCACATGATAGACAGAAGTCATAATGTGAACCTACTGGAGTATGGATGTATTTAAACTAAAATAGTCTTGCAAATGTCTTGTACCTGCTCGAGAGGCAACTTGCTCAAAGAACAGTACTTTGAGCATAATGTTTAAGAGGCTTTATGCTGCAAGATGTTACTTTAGGTAAATGGTGATTGAGCACCTTAGAAAAATATAGAACACTCAAAAAGAGCACAGAGTAATAGGTATCAGAGGGGCTGCTATGTTAGTCTGTATCTGCAAAAACAAAGAGGAGTCCTGTGGCACCTTAAAAACTAACGGATGTATTTGGGTATAACCTTTTGTGGATAAAACCCACCTCACCAGGTGCATGCAAATAAGGAGGCACCTCAAAATGCATCTGAGGAAGTAGGTTTTCACCTACAAAAGCTTATGCTCCAATAAATCTGTAAGTCTTTAAGGTGCCACAGAACTCCACACAGTAATATGTTTGACACTTAATAGATTCTAAAGAAAAAAATTCATAACAAAATGTGTGCAGGTACAGGCAGTCCCCGGGTTACATGGATCCGACTTACATCGAATCCCTACTTACAAACGGGGTGAGGCAACCCCGCACTAGCTACTTCCCCCCAGCAGACCAGGAAGACGCGAAGCTAGCGCCCCGCCCCCCCAGCAGACCAGGCAGACGCGGAGCGGCTTTTCTCAGCAGACACCTCAGCTTGAGAATAAAGGACTGAGGGAAGTGAGGTGTGGGAGAATAAAACTGAGCTCTGGAGAAAGCTGAGTCTAGCTTTGGCTAGAGTTTCCCCTACAATATGTACCAGTTCCGACTTGCATACAAATTCAACTTAAGAACAAACCTACAGTCCCTATCTTGTACGTAACCCGGGGACTGCCAGTATTCCACAGTTATTCCTAGTTCCACAGCCTTTACATATGTGAAACTCCCATTGACTTCAACAGGAACAGCACGTAAAAGCTGGAGGGTAGTAAAATCATAGCCCCACTGAAGTTAATGAGAGTTTTGATACAGACTTCAGTAGGTATGTCTTCACAACAGCTGGGAGCATGCCTTTCAGGTTGGACAGACTGACATGTGCCACGCCCACATGACTTAGTGCACTAAAAATCGTAGTGTTGGACACTGCAAAACAGCAATGGCTTAGGCTCCCCAGAGGTTAGACCCTCCTGACCATCTGTGGGGTCTGACATCAGTTTTCAGGGAACACCCAAAACTGTGTTGTCTAATAAGGTCTTTCACTTAAAGGCAAACTGAGTCAGCATTATCCTTAGGCGGTGTTTAAATGATAATTTAAAACAAGGCTGAAAAAGGGGACAGTTGAGGCATGTCATCCAGAAATGAAACCATGTAAGAAAAGTGACATAGCAGTCCTGCAGTGGATTGAAGTAGACATTTATAGGGCACTTGATATTTTGGTATGTAGGGGACACTCTCTCCTCAATCCTCAAGTGAGTACTGCTATGGATCTGTCTGTTAGAGAAAGCGCCCTTAGTTCAGGTATCACTGTAACAGGATTGTTCTGTGCATTTCCTATACCTCACTTTGAAAGTGAATGTGTGTGAAAAACACTGCCAGTTACCAACTAGTATAAGCATCAATTTCTTGTGTTCAGAGTAATGGTGACATCCAGTGGCCACGAGGATAATAGCCAAGCCCTTAGACGCAACCGCATCTGCTCTAATCCCACTGACAGAGACCAGAAACTTCAGGATCTCTACCAAGCCTTTGTAAACCTCAATTACACACCTGGGGAAATAAAAAAACAAATTGAAAGAGCCAAATGAATACCCAGAAACCAGCTACTTCAAGACAGACCCAAGAAAACCAACAATAAGGAGGATCTATGAAGTTAGGGCTGGTTCTGTTAGAGCTGCTGAAACTGCCCAGCATGGGGAAGGTCCCATCAGCCTGAGGAGAGGCTGGAATGTTGGTGGGATCGTTACTGCTCATGCTGCAGGCAGCTTTGGGATAGCAGAGCTCTGTGTTGGTGCTCCTGTGATGTAGCGTACAGAAGTAGAGCAGTAGTGTCTCGTTGCCAGCTTTGTCCACATATTTACTCTGGTGACACCATCATTGGACCGAACCATTTCAGTTATAAGATCAAGAACACATATTCCTGCTCATCCAGAAATATAATTTATGCCATCATGTGCCAACAGTGTCCTGCTGCTATGTATATTGGACAAACTTCTCAGACACTTCTCCAAAGAATCAATGCACACAAAACAGACATCAGACAGTTCCACAAAGGAAAAACAGTTTCTTGCCATTTCAACCAGCCTGGGCATTGTCTCAACAACCTTACTACATGTATCCTGCTTCAAAGAGGCTTTAACACAAGACTTCAAAGAGAAGCCTCTGAACAGTCATTCATGCTTAAAATTTGACACTTTACAAATGGGCCTTAACAAAGATGCTAATTATCTCACCCATTACAAAGATAGCTTCCCCAATTATCACCTCTAATATCATTACCTCATAGACATTAACCTCCTTCCCTCATCCCCCCCCTCTGTTCTAAAATCTGATTTGTCTATTTTATATGTGTTCACTTTTTTTTTATTGTATCCCTTTGGTATATATGGTTATGCCAATTTTCTTCCACAATTTGATCGGAGGAAGTGGGTCTGGCCCACGAAAGCTCATCACCTAATAAACCATCCTGTTAGTCTTTAAAGTGCTGCATAGTCCTGGTTTTTGTTATGGCTAACATCTGTTATATGTCATGAAGAGTGAAAATTTCCCTCTGGCATCCTGTCCCCTACTACAGAAACTTGTCCCCCTGCCTTCCCCACTACAGAAACCTGTCCCCGTTTCCCCCTGCAGAAACACCTGTCCCCCCCCAGCACCCTGTCCCCTGCTGCAGAAACCTGTCCTTCTGGCACCCCTCCCCAGTACTGTGTCCCCTGCTCCCGAATGACTTTTCTATGGGCCAGTGACCCCTGACTCAAGGCAGGTTCCCTGCCATTCTCATAAATAAAGACAATGCAGAAACTGTGTGTGTTTAACATAGTATTTTATTTAAAAAATGAAGCCTGGCCAACAAACCCCCAATTGGGGCTAAGCCCCCATCTGGCCACAACCACTCCTGCATTCCCCCTTCTCCAGACCGTAGAGCTGAGCCTATCAAACACTGGAACCCCCTGCCCGAGCCCCTCACACACCCCAACCCAAATTCCTGCACCCTCACATCCACAAGCCTGTGGCTTGCTTAGTACCCCAACACTGTCCGGCCTGGAGCCCTCCTCCCCCGAGACAGTGTCCCCTTCTCCACCTCTTCCTGTATCCAGATTTCCTCCCAGAGCTTGCACCTCTCACCCCTTTCCACACCCAAATCCCTCATTCCCACCCCAGAGACTACACATCCTGTCTCAACCCAGTGAGGGTCCAGCTAGACTGCAGGAGTTTTTCAGGATTCTGGAGATATTCCAGAAAAACTCTTCTGCATCCAGGGATGCATTTGTTCTTCTGCTTTTTTAGTGGAAGAGCAAACAGGCTCTTTCGGTCACCCCTATACTCCCTTTTCCACAAGGAATAAGGGGACTTCCAAAAGAAGGGGTTTTTTTCTGACATTTGGTCTAGTCCAGACAGGCCAAATGTTGGAAAAACTTCTTCCTACAGAAGAATTTTTTTTTTAAGCAGCAGTATAAAGATTGGCGATAGCAAGTGATGGAGAGGAGGAGAATTGAGAGGGCGGGGCGGTAAATCTTGGCTTGGTCTGTCATTTAAAAAGTGATCTTGGGTGTAAAAAGGTTGGAGACCACTGATGTAAACAATTCTAGGAAAATCCAGCAATTTCCCTCAGGAAAAGGGAGAAAAGGAATCCTTACTCCAGCCACCCGGACCACTTAATCTGCTATTCTCAGACTGGAGACCTCTCATAACTATTTTCTTCACAATGACTCCTGCATACCCCAAAGTGAATGACTACCTAAGGCCACACTCTCTTTCATCTAATTAATAACTGCTTTAAATGCAGGGCCTCCAAATTAGGACTGGAAAACATCAGTGGGGGATTCACGGGTCTTCTGCTGCTGCCCATGCTGGTAGTGTTCTGAGGAGAATTATATTTTAGAATTAAATAATAAAAAGGAACCTACACCAGGCTCTAAGGCACTCTAACATATAAATTAGCAGTGCAACAAAAAAAGTCAGCGGCATTATAATAAACAAAACAGCAACCCAGCTGGGCAGCCGGCTACAAAAAAAACACTTTTACCCTTTCATTACCCTGAGAAGAGCATCTTCAGTCCTCTTTTAAAACCCTATCAAATTGAATGCTCTTTTTTGCAGCGTGGCAGTAGATCACCAAAGTTTTGCTGGTCAGCAACTGCCCAGGGGACAAGATCCCGTGTCCTGGAGTTCTCTCAGAGAATGATAATTAAGTATACACATCACACACAAACTTTACAACAAACAAACAAACCTTTGAAGACATTGCTTGCTAAAATGGTTCTAGGTACACGACAGTAGTGTGGTTTTCTACCTATAAAAGGAACCATCACAATCCCCAATGCCACTTTTTAAATGCAACACACAGTGGACAAACATCCCCTACGTACTTACATTTCCAAATATTTCTGGCAACCCCAAAATCTGACCAATAAAAACTCCAATACAGATAAAGATTGCTGTGATCTGCCCCAGAGAACCCCGGATCTCTTTAGGCGATATTTCACTCAAATAGATGGGAAGGGTGCTGAGAGACACACCTATAAAAGAAAGGAAAAACAGAGAAATTGCTGTAAGTAATAAATGAGCAAGGACTTTATTCAGAAAAGTCTGAATACCAATTTTAGACATCAGCATGATGAGGGTGGCATAAGGACCTATTTGGAAAAGAACAGAATCTATGTATGCTGTGTGTGTGCGCGCATGCAAATGCATTCGTATCCTTGTAACACTGAATCACCAAGGAAGCCAATAATTTCCATTTACATATTGGAAATGATGCATGCAGGTCATGGTTCCATTGCTGCAATATGGGGAAGGGTGTCCGTTCTACAGAAATTACTACTAACGGTCATGGAGACAGGAGGTTGGGAGGACTGTCGTACTCAACCAGAAATGCAAAATAAGTAGGATGAGGAAGCTGTTCTTTTGCTCATCCCCCTAAGAACTGGGGGGAAGGAAAGTGCTAAGCTGGTCTAAATGGTATTTGGTCCTGCGATGCGTGCAGAGGCTTGGATTTGATGACCTCTCAAAGTTTCCTTAAAGTTCTATGAAGTTATCCCTGGATGGGATACATGCGTGTGCTAAGGGGCAAGTTAAAATAGCAAGGATCTTTATTTCAAGAAAGCAACTAAAGGTGTGAGCTGCATGGAACAGTAATCGTGGAATGCTTGTCTGAACTGAGTTTTCCTATCTCAATTCTCTGGATATTAAGGGGTCATCATTTGCCAAAGGAAAGCATGGGAGAGGATGCTAATACTCCACCGGTTTTGCCATCCTTTCAGAATGTGTTTACTGCATGAATTAGAAAGGAGAACGTACCCTCCCCCCCAACATGTGGGGAAATAAAAAAGGTGACTATGGTTAGTCCCTAACACTGACCAAGCCTTGATCAATGACAAATGTTAGCAGCCAGCAGAGTAACACTGCTATAAAGTACCAATTTCTATGTAAACAATGCACATCTCTTCAAAACTAATGTAATTAGCTTACAAACACGATAACTAAGGTGTCTAAGAAGAAGGGTTTAGTGACAGAAATCAAGGTAAATATCCTGTTCTGAAACAATCAGAAGTCCATTGAGAAGGTAGAAAGATTTTATTACAAATGGATAGCAATGTTCTAGGTCTTCAGTCTTATCTTATTCACATTTAGTATTGCTAGATTCAACGTCAAATAGAAAATAAGCAGCTTTAATAGACAGACCATATTCTCTTACCCAAAGGGCTTCTGTTTTGTGAAGGCAGACATTCTGTACAAAGGGGAATTTGAGGTCATTGTTAATATCCATTTATGATTCTTCATTAATGATCAGATTCTGCCGTCCTTAGTCAGTCTGATTGTTCCCATTGAATTTAGGGAGGGTTATGCATAGAAATTACTCCTCAATATCAAGGTAGCAGAGGATGCACAGTATGAACGGCATGACACAAAGCTTACCTGCATGAATACCCATCACAGTGCGTCCCAATACGAGCATTTCAAATGACCCTGCTAACTGACCAAAAGCCATCAACAATGCAGCCACAACTGCAAATACATTATTGATCAGCAATGTGTATTTTCTGAAAAAGAAAATGTTACATTTATATTTACATGACATTTTAAATAGTTATATTAACAAACATTTATTAAAATAGCTACATTGTATATAAAGTTGCAAATAATTAAAAACTCGGTGCTTAATAACAGAGTTTCAAAACTGTAGCTAACGACATCTCATGCAGAATAAATATGGTAACTGTTTAAAAATAAAAGTCTAAATCTCAAAGGCATGAAGATTTTCTCTCTTATGGTCTCCCACAGCAAGACAAGATATAATTAAGACAGTAGTTCCCAACCTTTTTGAGCATACGGACTCTTTCAATTTATTAAAATTTCATGGACTCCCCCACCAGGGAAGAAAAGAAAAGGAGAAGGAAAGAAAAAAGAAAAAGTAAGGATTGGGCCCATCCGATCCTTATTTTTAAACTTTCTACAAAACCCCGGCAATGCCATCACAGACCACTAGGGGTCCAGAGACCACAGGTTGGGCACCAGTGGCAAGATTTGGATGCTTCAGAGGGGTAGTCGAGTTAGTCTGTAACAGGAAAAATCTTAAAACACAACAATAGTCTAGTAGCACTTTAAACACTAACAAAACATGTAGATGGTATCATGAGCTTTCGTGAGCACAGCCCACTTCTTCAGATGACAGGAGTGTTAGAAGTCCAGATC